CCATGCTTCCTGTACAGCCTGCAGAATCATGAGTTAAATAAACGTCTTTTCTTTATAAATTTCCCAGTCTCAGTTACTCCTTTATAGCAACACAAATGGACTAAGACAGATTATATTGCCAGTAATTTCAGTAGCATTTCACAGTAACCTGCATTTCTCCCAGGTTATAGTATAACAGTTATTTTTTCTGATAATTTAGCAATCACAATGTTACAAACTTCAGACTGCTAAAGTTCACTTGACTTAGGTCTCTGGGTGCTTTAAAGAAAAACACGTAAGTTTAATTATTGCTTTCCTAGTTCACAACTAATTATTATCAGCAAGTCAAAGGGGAAGGGTAAAGAAAAGAACTACTAGAAATAGAAAGAGTTGTCAAGAAATAACAGTAAATTGGTAGGAAGAAAAAGCAGAATGCAAAAGCACAAAGAACTTCAAACACATAATCTTCTAGGGCCGCTTAGCAAAACGCTCTATGTTTCTAAAGAGTCTCCAAGGGCAGCCACTGGATGGTGGGCATATTCACTGAAGTAGATCCAGAGCAACGTCATCAATAAGGATTACATTATCTTTTTAAAGAAGGTAGGGAAACACGGAATCCCTTTCTAAAAAGCAATTCATCTAAAATGTTTTAAATATTATGTACCGTGGTTTAAATTTGAGCACTTAAATCACAAGCTTCAGTTATACAGAAGATTGCACTCTACAATAAATGCTGAGTAAAGCACTACAGTTGTTGGAAGAATTTCAAGTTTAACACAAGCACTAGTTATATAAAAATATGAGTTTCTCATTCCCTGACTATGCTGGAAAACTGAAGTGCTAATGTCACTTGAAATAATATTCAAGTTCTGAACGAATATCTTGACTTATAGAAAACTAAGACTATGTACAAGTTATTAAAAATACCTGAACTGTGAAATTATCAGTTGTTTCCATCCTGTTTAACTTATCACACTATTCCCTTAAACTCCTCTTGTTAGTGCTTTCTCTACAAAACAGGAAAATTATGACTTTGGGTAGGGAGTTTTTCTTAAAGTATTGATTTAAAAGTTTAACAAATATTTGTAAGTGTTTATACATTTGTATTTTAAATGTGCATATTTCAATAATTTATTCATAAAACATTGTTAATCCATAGAAAGAGAATTTAGATTGTTAATTCTCTGCCAATGGAACTAAAGTCAAAGAAATATATAAGCTTTTCTGTAAACAAGGAAGCTTAAAAAGGACAGAAAAAATTGACTAATACCTAATTATCAGTGGGTGAAAAATGCAAGTTAAAAGAGTCTAAAGGCCTTTAGCGATTAAATTTTTCCGAGGTCTAAATGATAGAGAATGTACAGGAAAAATACTAGTTGGTTCTCAGAGCCAAAAAGTTAGTGAATATTTTGGAGTTGACTGTGGAAGATTTAGAGTCCTCATATGACCTACTTTTTCTCCACTACAATCTGTGAAAAATATGATAAAACAGTACTTATTCACCAAAATAAGCACCATACAAATGTTCTTAGTCTAAAATATATAAATATTCACTGGAAAAAATTGATGAAATAATTACATATACAGTCACAATGAACCAAAATTCAATTCATCTCTTTTCCTCACTATCCTACCTAATCAAACATCCTATTTCCAAAGTTCAAAACTGTAACAATATTGCACTTATATAAGGTTTTAAACCTAGAGAATTATATACTTAATATTGTAAGACTTTAAACCTAACAGAATACACCTAAATTATTTAAGGGGTAAGAAAAGGTATTACTGTAGATACACTATAATGATATATGGTAGTGGGATTTGTTTTTGGTTTTTTGGTTTTGTAAACTGCTCAATTTTTTTCTGGAACATCAGTAGAAAATCACAAACTGGGACGTTTCAATTTTTTTTTTTTTTTAACAGAGAAAATGCATTTGTCTCATCTAGCTACATATACCAGGGTGCCAAAAAAAAAAAAATGTATACACATTTTAAGCAATGTTAAAAATGTTTGCTGTAATCAGAAGTGTTAGACACTGATGGTAACCACTTTGAGCACCTCTTGTAATAGCAACAGTCAAATGTGACTTGCATTCATCTTATTGAATATTACAATTTTAATGCAGATTTTTTCTCTCTTAAAAATGTATATACATTTTTTGGCGCCTCTGTATTTATCATTATTATTATGTTCATATTTGGAAAAATTGAAAACCAAATATAAACACATCTTGCTTGAAGGCTATTATTAATTTTAGTCCTATCATTGAAGGTTACCAATGATCTAATCCAACATTACTTTCCTAGTAACAAAACTGAAAAATGGGAAAGTTGCATGGCTGGTTGAAGGGCATACTAGTTAATAGCAAAGTCAACTTAGAATCCAGTTATATTTTCACTAAAACAACTTCTTTCCAACTTAAATATCAAATAATCTCTGATTTGAGATACAAAAAATAGAAAACAAATTCATAAGAGACATGGATGAAATACCCAAGGTTTGGTGACCCTGAAACATAAAGTAGCTTAAATGCATAAATGTTGCTTTGTTCATTTTGCTGAATTTGTGTTAGGGCCACTAAAAACAAACAAATGGCCTACAGCGAATTTTTCCAAAAAAGTAAAAGTCATTTAGACCAAGCTTATCACATAGATACCATTATTAGACGTGGATAATGTATATGCATCATCAGCTATTTGGACACAAAGAATATTATCCACATAAATAACTATAAAAATTGAAATCTAAGCCAGAAATTGAAATTTATTTTAGCTACATACTAAATATATGTGTAAACTATAATTAAAGTCAGCACATACTCATTTCTCAGTAGAAAGTTTTTATGCAGGACTGCGTGGTGGCTCATGCCTGTAATCCCAGCACTTTGAGAGGCCAAAGCGAGAGGACTGCTTGACTCTAGAAGTTCAAGACCACCCTAGAAAACATACCAAGACCTCATCTCTACAAAAAATAAATTTAAAAAAATTAGCTGGGCAAGTTGGCACAGGCCTATAGTCCCAGCTACTCAAGAGACTGAGGCAGAAGGATCACTTGAGCCCAGGAAGTCAAAGCTGTGGTGAGCCATAATTGGGCCACTGCACTACAGCCTGTACAACAGAGTGAGACTCTGACAAAAAAGAAAGAGAAAAAAGAGAGAGAGAGAGAAAGGAGGCAAGGAGGAAGGGGGGGGAGAGAGAGAGAAGAAGAAAGCGAAAGCGGAGGGGGAGGAGAGGGGAAGGGGAGGGAGAGGGGGAGAAGGGGGAAAGAAGAGAGAGAGAGAGAAAGAATTATGCAAATAAAAATAATGAAAATAGAATTAACCCAGACGGCTGTCCACAGAAATCAGTGTGATGTTACTGAAATTTCTTAAACATAATTTAATTTTAGATAAGGTTGAAATACAAATTCCTTTCTTCTCTTCAACTATTTCTGATAAGGGCACAAATAAATAGTACAAGACCTATAGCCAGTCAAGACAAAAATGAAGAAGCAATGGAATAGTACCCACCACTGAATTTATTCGTTCACTAAATATTTATTGAGTGTCAGAGGCTATATAGTACTGGGAAGCATTTAAAAAAAGACTAAGCAAAAAAGCAGATGAGATCACTGCCCTTGTAAGTTTATCTCTAATAGAGTATTTATGAAATACATTACCCCAAGAAGCACTGTGTTAGAACTATCTTCATTTTTTTAAAAAAGTAATTCTTTTTAATATCTGCAAATTATGGTTAAGAAAATCAGCCTTGCTTATTGTTCTATTAACCTAACATTAAAAATATTTACCTAAATTAAAAAAATTAATACAGTCTATCTTCCTTAAAAGGTTGCATCCTAGACAACATAAATGATATATTAAATAGATTCCATATTATTCCACTACTTACAACTCAAAGTGTAATGACTGTCAGTGAGGCAGGACTTTCTGCTACAGAAACATTTGTAATAATCTAGATTTTTTTTTTCAGATCACTCAAAGTTATCGAATATATGTCCTAAAATAAAAACCTGTATCCCACTTAAGATGCTAGACACATTTTTACACTGGAAAATAAGGGGGGAAAATAGAAAGTAGGAAAATGATTCATCAACATTTGATTCTTAGAAGATTATCACTAGTTGATGATTAGGAGTTTGATGGAAAAATAATTTTTAATGATTCAGAGAAGTTACTAAGAAATGGATGCCTAGAATTTCAATTTTTCTTAACAAACACCTAGATATAAAACTTAAAGAAAATATATCAGCATGCTAAAAATTAGTTATCTTGAATACTACTAGGCTTACTATAAATAGCAATTATTCCCTTGATGTTTTTATATTTCCTAGTGTAAAGAAATACTACATTTATAGTTAGAAAACATTTAAAGAGAGGCAAACCTTAAGACACATCATTGACACAAAGACTAGGTGTCCTACACAGTCCCACTCTTAATAACTGCAGAACAGCACTAGCACTGTAGTTGAGAACTGGATAGTACACGTACACACACACACACACACACACACACACAATGGCTGGCATGTAGAAGGCACTCAGATAGTATTTGTGGAGTGGCATGAGTGAAGACACACGTAAACAAGACAAAACAACAAAATGCACTCCGATGGGGGGTGTGGGGTGTGGACACAGTATACAAATCACAGTAATGACTACCAAAAGCCAGCAGACGCTGAGTGTGCACTAAATGAAAGAGCTCTTCTCCTTGCCCTCCTCTTTTACTCTGACACTAGACAGCACATTCAAAACAAATCCTCCAGCCCCGCCCCGAGCTCTACCCCGCGCCGCCTCCAGCGCTGGGACTGACATTAAGTCTAGGGCCTCGGCGATGCCCAGACCCCGGCCCCCCTCCAGGGCACCGGGCGCCCACAAACACGCCCGGCACGGCCGAGGCGGGGGCACCGGGCGGACAGCCCCTCATCCGGCAACCCCACCCCCCACCCCCGGGACTGGCGCGCACGCCCAAAGCTCCCAGCCCGCGGCGCCGGCGGCCCCCTCCCCTGGGCCTGGCCGCCGTACCTGCACACAGTGATCAGGTTCCTTCTCTCGACCGCAGCATTTCGGGCGCTCAGGCTCTTCTTGCCGCCGCCCCCGCCGCCGCGGCTCCCGCTGAGGCCCCCCAGGCTGCGGGAGGCCATGGCGGGCTCACCCCCGAGCCCCCTTTGTCTCGTGCGACCCCTCACGCCCCTCACACCTGCTTGCGGGGCCCCGCTCGGTACGCGACCGTGGGGTCGGGGTCGCCGACAGGATGCAGGGAGGAAGCGGGGAGGAAGGGAGAGTGTGGAAGACGCGGGGGACTCGCCCTGGGGGCTGACGGCTCGCCCTCGGCACCCGAGCTCCACACACACACACGCGCGCACACACGCTCGCACCACCTCCGCC